TAAAGCAACCCATTTCATGTCCAATGCTGCGGGGAATGCTCAATCTGTGTTCACTGTGTTTACCGTCGATTATCATATCATATCATCGCTGTTGGCCATGTTGAAGTCGTTGCAATTTGACAGCACAGTCAAGAACTGTACTGAGGAGAGTAATGCAAGTTAATTAGAACATTAGATAAGTTGTAATACGTTTCCTTTCAAGCTAAACGCTGAAACAAATGCTGAATCGTAAAGGCTGGAGAGAAAGTTTCAGACTTTAAAGGCAGACTACGCATAAATGTTTGTATATGAGGAAATTTGACGAGCTTAAACGTTAATCCCTGAATGGAGCATGATGAAATCTATCGGTGACACATGGTCTCCTCGACAATTTTTATTCCTCATGAGTTACGGCGTCGAACAATAATAGAACAATGCTGCTGCCGACTACTTCGTCGTACTACTGTACACAAATGTTGCTTTAGATGTGACAGGGTGGTGCTTGGCAGACGGTAATAATTTTTCTTCCATATGTCATTTTCATTAGATCGATCGATCGATCGATCACCTCGTCTTTAGACGATGAGGTTCGCCGAACAGCGTCCAACGCGTCTGGACTTACTAACAGCTTCGTATCACCGGCCTTCCTCCCCCTCTGCTTGCGTCCGGTGCTTTTCATCGTCCTTTGGTCGTTCGACACGCGTCAGCTGATCGTTCGGCCGCGTTAATCTTCGTATCCGCCGTAACGCTCTCGTGTATGTGGCTGGCTGGCAGCTGCAGCAGATGTCGACCTCCTTCTTTCGCCTTAACCTCTGTCGAAACAGGCGAACGATTAGACGGTCCCCGAAGGGCGGGGCACTTTTTCTGGTTTCCTTTCACCCACCTAATCACCGGAGTTCGACTTCACACACCGACACGACTGGCGCTGCAAACGCGCCCGTATCCGTTTTTGCGATGAGGCACCGCGCCCAAACGCATGATTTACACCGCGCTTAAACGCCGACAGGTAGTGTATGATTAATGGAGGAAAAACACTCAAAACCACGGATGTCTTTTTTTTCAAAATGGAAAATTGGCAAAAATGGAATGGAATGGAATGGAATGTTTCAGGGCAACCGTGTCGTTCCATCGTCCAGTTTCATCTTCGGGATATGCGTTGCGCCTGCGACACCTCTTTGTTGCTATATGAGTGTAACGCAACGACGATGTCCTTTACACTTGCGTGACTGGAGACGTCATGTGTGAGGCTGTTGTTTAATGCGTTGCTGTTTCGGTGCTTAGGAGGGTGCTGTTTCGGTGCCACGTCCGCAGCACAGTGACATTACGTCACGTACGGTCTATGACGTTTCAGCGCACACTGTTTGGTTATAGTTATGGTCATACCATGGATGTGTCCAATTCCACTACGCGATCTAGTGCCTCAGCGCCGAGTCGCGCGGTGCGGTCGCCAGTTTCAACTCTAGTCATTCCCGCATGTTCGATTATTTGACCTTAGCCTTCGTGTTGCCCGCCACCCGAAAACTGTCTGCGAGTGCAATGAAGATCGATGGTTTTCGTGTACTTTTACTTTATTTGATGACTCAATCGCGGTGACAGTCGTTTAATCGCAGATGATCATCTGAGTCAATTTATTTGACTGGCTTTTCCCCTCACTTTGTATCGCTCGAAAGCCCTCCGTGAGCACGGTACGGAACAGCCGTCAATAGCATCAGTTTCAAGGCCGAATTCATCGTCTGTCACGATTTCACTGGGTAAATCATTACGCAGGCTCGTTATATCCGAACGCGTCAACGTTAGCCTCAACAGTCGCGAGTTTCAATCTGAGTAACTTTTAGAAGCCCAAACTCTGTTTCGACGTTTTAGACCAATTCCGTAACTTTTGTCACAGTAGCGAATTTGCATACGGATTTAAACCGACAGTTCGTATATGCTATATTCGCCTACTTCTACTATGTATCACCACTCATTGTAATCTGCCAAACTGTTAACTAGAAACGAATAATAACGTTATCATTATGTTTCGTAAAATTCTAATGTCTGAATATCGGCTGAATTTAATAGTCGAAATCTAACAACGGTGGAAAAAAGAAAGCAAAAATTAATCATCATAGAGAAATTTTTTATCATATAAATTACATTACTGCGCTGTTCGGTAGTTTTGCTCTAACCCAGAAGATAGGTAAAAACGTCGCTATACTGATAGTCATTCTTTCATTCACGCCCCGATATTTCTTCAACTTAACTGGTGGCTGATGACCGCCAGCAGGTTGCTCGTAGTATATTTCCCGGCCTTGCTGCGCTTTACGCAGTCCATCAATCAACTTCCGTCCGACGGGTGTGAAATTCCCAGTTCAGTCTGAATCTGTCGATGGGTTGCCTCTGCATGGTTGTTCATGCACTTTCCACTGTAGATCACCTTACAGTAAGCCGACCAAATTTCTGATGCAAACATCTGTGCGTCTTGTATTTCCTTTACCGTTCAAGCGATCCATGTAGTTGTCTTCGAACCAGCCAAGAAGCGGCTGCGGTTCGTTGGGAAGTTCTTCCGCCAGTCTGTCGATCGCTTGATCTAGTTCATAAATGGACACACGCGCCAAGCCGTTATCATCATCGCTTTCTACACAAAATCAGCATCGGCTTTATTATCACAAAGTAAACGCAGTTCGCCCAAATGCTTTTTTGTACTATAATTTGGATAGCAAAAATAACCACGAAGTTGAACGTCTGGGAACGCGTTCTTCATTACGTGGATCGGTGCAATTTCAAAATCGTATCCTATTTGAAACCGAATCCGAATAAATTTCTGGCACCGCTGCTTTGATCGTTTGAAACAGCCTAATATACGAGCCCGCCTACTTGGCAAAAGCTCATATACGAAAGGACTGCATTAATTTGAGTAAACAGCGGCGGCGGTGCGGGTCGAACTCTACCATCTGCAAACCATGTTCTCGACGCCATCAACATCTGGAAGTTTCCTTGCATGCCAAATATCAGTATACGATTAGGTCGAGGTCCACCGTCCTCAGTCAGGAAGTGTTCAGAAGTACCGGTTGCGGTTCGTGTCTGTTATACGATTCCGGCGGAACCGGTGTTTTTCAGTTCAGCGGACCTGGTGAAGCAGTATTCATGTCATTTCTTCTTCTCGTGACGATTTTCTTAAGGGCAGGCAGATTTTGAGGCGAACCCTGAGCTCCTTGCGAGGGTAAAACGGTGCACTCGTTAATGAATTGTATGGTGCCTCACGTACATTCTTCGACACACGCATTTTAATCGTGGTGAAGGTACACAGATTCCAGTTCTCGGCTGAAGTCACCAAGTACGCGAAGGGCGACTAATAACTTCAAATAGCGAGTACGAATGTTGACGCGCTCTCGTTTCGTACGCCTGGGTGTTCGACACAGTGAAACCGTCAGACGAAGGTGCCAACGTTGAAATCGATACTTACAACGAAATTTTCCTACTGTGCTAACAAAGCTTGCGAACGATACGTGACGAGAGGAATCAAATCAAGTGATCGATTTGGATTGCCGTTTGCTATTGTATGAATTGTGACTCGATCAAATGAATGCAGGCTTAGCGGCCTCATGGAACCATAAGTTGATATGAGAATCAACGATACCCACCAGTTTTGCAGCCACGTAGCCGCAGGCAGCTTTCCATTGGTAGACAGATACATGATTGATGCATTAAGGGTGAAGTTAAATCATTGATACAAATGTTCGTCTGCCAATGACATAAATTCAAACTCTCGGCCGCAGGACTGCGAGATGACATACTACATCACAATCGAACTGTAACGAGAACTTGATCAGTTTGACAACGACATCGTACTTCGTTCAAAGATAGCTAACCGTTGACATATAACATGATGGGCGAATCCCGTACTCGGTGCAGCTGACCACTGTCCAGTTGTACAGGTTCAAAGCAGAGACCGCAGGATCGAGCACTGG